AGTATTATGCGCCAGGATATTGTCCGTTTGAATATGAAAATCCCATAAGATCTTGACCATCTGATTTTCGGTGACTTTTTCAGGCTTATGTTCCCACCAGTTTGTTATTGTTTTAATATTATAATGTTTGCACAAATTCCAATGGATCATTTGTGCTACTGAATTGTTGTTGTTGTTTGTTGTTGTTGTTGTTGTTGTTGTTATTATTATTATAAAACTCAAATATATTTCAGGGCTTAGTCAGCTAATGTTTCAATGGGAAAATCAGGCCACTGAGTTTGGCAACTGTGGTCAAAAGGAGGCATCAGATTAGAAACTGGGTCCCACTTTAAGCACAGAGCCAGCTGGGTGACCTTGGGCCAGTCATGATCTCTCAGCCCTAGGAAACAGAAAATGGGAAATCACTTCTGAAAAACCTTGCAAAGAAGCCTTCAGGAGCTTGTGCAAGTAGTTGTCAGGACTCCAGACTGACTTTAAGGCATTAAAAAAGAGGGGGTGAAATTATAGTACATGGACCAAACACAACCATGATGAGATTTCACTCACCCCAGTCTTAGGATTTAGTCTGCCTGAGAGATTCTAAGCCACACTAATACAGCACTAGAAAACCCATGTAACATTGGGTGGCAGGGAAACTGGCAGGGAGCATTAGAAATCTTCCCTTCCCTTCCTTTCCCATCCCATCCTGATAAGCAGATAAGAGGCTGCTATCGGGTAGGATCAAGGGATTGTGAACTTGGCTGGGAAAGTGTCATAAAGGTTGAAAATGAAAATCACGTGACAGCAGCACAGCAGCCATCAGCAGAACTTAAACAGCCAAAACTTCCCCAAATTTCATTCTCTTGAGAGTCATGGGTTCCGGATTTTGGACACATTCTGTAGATTAGGCCATTTGAGTTAGTAACATGGTTCAAAAACTGTTGCCCAGTGATGCACCATTTCACCCAGTTAATGGTAATGACAACAAGACTTTTAGTAGTGCACAAATAGAAACTGGCAATTAAGGGTTTGATTGAAGGAAGTGCCCGCAAATTTACAATATTCCACTGATGAATGACTTCTACTTTCAAATATGTCTGGTGGTGAATGCTATGCATCTATTGTATGCTATTTGTAACTGTATCTGAACTCCAGTGTGGATGAGAGTTTGCATCTATTTCTAGCTTAGCTTGTTAATTATATGTAATAAGATTGGGGAAAGAATCATTAGAATGATTATAGGACTGGGTGAATTTGTCAATGTTGTGTTCTCATTTTTATGAAAGTATCAATTTGGCGTTTTTTAATTTCCTTTTTGCATAAAAATGCAACAAAATTTAGAGAAGTTTTAGTGGATATTTTTGCAACTTTTTTTTTTGCAATTTTGCCTAGTGTGCTAAGATTGAGTTCCAGTCCCAACATTAATCATAAAACTAGCTGGGTGACCTGGGACAAGTTATCTCTCTTAACCCTAGCATGGTGGCAACAGCAAACCACTTCTAAAAACATTGCCAAGAAAACTGTAGGGACTAGTCCAGGTAGCCATCAGGAGTTAGGACTAATTTAAAGGCAGAACAAAAGACAGACAAGGAAAAAAAGGGAGGGAGGGAGTCCATATGCATATTGTACAAATGTTGAATTAACATGGACAAGTTTTCAAAATTGTTGATGAACTGTATTTTAAAATAAGATGAATTTTGAATATGAATAAGTTTTACTACATGTATTGGTTCAAAAATGCAAAATTATAGATAATTTACATTCTAATATCCCCATTCCTACAAGGTAATACATTGAAGGAAATGCACTATCATCTCTTCTGCTAACTATCCACTCTCTTCTTAATAATTTCATAGCATTTAGTTAAAGGGGGCAGCAAACTTTCTCATCACTACAGCCCTCTATTTCAGGTCTAGCACATGCTATATAATGACAGTCTTTGTTTCTCTTTGGCAGGAAAACAGCGGAAAAGAGGCCTTGTGTTTCAGTGGTTTCCAATCGCTGGATCTCATCTCTAAAGAAGGACCATTGTGGATTCTAGGAGATGTATTTATGTCGGGTTTTTACTCTGTTTTTGATCGTGGACATGATAGAATTGGCTTTGCTAAATTAGCTCATAAAGGAAGGAAAAGAAATCAACAGAAATAGTAAAAGCAGCATAGGTAGAGATAATATTGATAATTTTGCCTTTCACACAATGAACAAGAATTGTTTTTGATATGTGGAGAAAGAATGGGGAGAAGGTGTAAAAGGATTTAACTATATCGGGATACCACTTTTACAGCTTGATTCTGATCCTTCTGTGGTCATAATGGAGGTGTAGCAACTCTTTCCAACCTATTGACTGTCAGGGCTAACCGGGTGACTGATTGGAGATCTATTTATGATTGAAACCTCACTACCTATTAGGTAGCCATATTAGAAATAGCTGAATAAAGTCTTCAAAAGTCATAAAGCTGAGCCATTTGGCTTACCTAATTTATATTTACTTGGATCATGATGTATGTTCTCTTTGTCCACCTGTCATCTGGTCATATAGTTTGTATTACAAAGATTATAGTTCTTAGTCTTATTTGTATATGACACTAGAAATGGCTGTCTATTTCATACCTGTCTTGAGTAAACGTCATAATTTTTTATTATGATTTGTTTGTATAATTCAAAGCATTTCAGGCACCCTATTCTGAGCATCTTTACTTACATAGAAATCAAAATTCAAGTTGTCATGCCTTTACTTAAGCAACATCAAGCAGGGATGAGTTTTAGAGATAATCTTCACTGATAAATACTCAGAATTTACTGATAAATGAATTAGGCTGTTACAAAAAGAAAGAATGCCAGTTTCTTGAAGTGTGATTATCCTCCCTCTTTCCTACTCCTTTTAATATTTACTCTACTGCATCTTAATCTTGTTTGATTTGTATTTACATATGTCTAAAAATAAAGGTAAGTTCAAACATTTTTAAATAGTTTTTATCAAAATAAAAGCATTGAAAATACACAGTAGGATAGACATTATGTGGGCTCCAAGCTTTGTTTCTCTAAGGCAAATTAACATTCTACATGCCAAGAACTTTATATCAAAACTATGAGTCCATAGCACTCTATTTGTCAAAGATGATCTTTAGTGGAATCATTGTTAAACTCAGCTATATGAAGAATATCAGTTTCTTTAGTATCTGGTTGCTCTAGTAAGTAACATATGTCAAATGTATTTGGAGAAATAGGACTAGGTGTAGGTGTGCTATCTGGACTTAAGTTGTTTTTTCCAGAGGAAGTTGCCAATTCTTTGGTACTGAGCACTTCATGCTGAGCAAGAACATCTGGAAATCTCCATCTTTGATTATCTGCCATATTGACAGTTGATTTTTGAGACGAGGGTGATTTATTTCCTTTTGGCATACCCAAAGGTGGATCCTGTTGCTTGGATTGCGTATGAGGAGGTTCTGTTTCTGAAGGTGTTGTCAACAAATCTGCATTGCTGTTGTGTGTTCCACAATGGGTCAGCACAATTCCTTCAGAATCTGTTTCTGACTCACTTTGACTGCCCAAATATTTTCTTGTCATGACAGAGGAGTCCTTGTCTGAATCTACTCTGGTTTCTTTGCTCTTAGTTTTGACAGTTACTGAGTCTACTTTGCTAATTCTCTCATCCACTTTGGATTGATTGGAATTCTCTAGAGCATCATTCTTGCTGCTTTCTCGAATAACTGTAAGATCCATACTTCCATGCATCTTTCCATCCTTATCAGACCAGTTATGAGTTTTTCTGCCATTTAAAGGGAAGTGTCTCCCTCTAGAGTGCATTTCCAGAAGATTATCAATATGACGCATTTCATGTGATGGGAAAAAAATTGAGCTTTCACTGGATTGCCGTTGGTAGGTCCTCCTGCTGGGCAAAGGGGAGACTTCTCGGACACTCAGAAAGCGTTTCACCCTTCGCAGCACCGAATGCTGCCTTCTAACTTTATCATCATCCCGGAGCCAGTTTTCTGCATGGAAGAACTGACTGTCTGCCAGGCTGCAAGAAAAAACATGCAACATTTATTTTATGTATTAAGAGCAAACTGGGTCTCTTGACCTATATCATTGGCAAAGGAAAAAACTCTATAAGGACAAATGAAACCTTTAGTCCTCAAACAATCTCAGTAAAACTTGAGGAGACCGAATGATCATTCCTGAATGGGGAGTGGAGGGGAGAGTGGGGGGAAAGAAAGGGCAATACGGTGGATTTTCTCTGAAGAGGTATGGCTGGTTGGCTAATAAACAAAACACAGGCCCTAACTTTTTGCAGATCCTATTTGAATTGTATCTATTATTACAAACAATTCCTTAAGTAGTGGTATAAATACAAAAATAGTTTTAATATTGTGATCATATTATTAGATCTGCAATCAACCAATTATTTTATTATTGTTGTTTTTATTATTATTATTCCCAGATTTTTTCATATACAACTGAAAGCAGTGAACATACCTACTAATCCTTCCTCCTAATTTTTCCCACAACAGAACCCTGTGAGGTGAGTGCTCAACTCAGCCCATGACAGAGATTGACAGGGCCAGTCATCCAGCTGGCTTTCATGCCTAAGGAAGGGCTAGAAGCCTCCTGGTTTCTAGGTTCCACCACAAAACCGCGTTCGACTAAAGCGCGCTCGACGAAACCACATAGCTGACGTCATCAACAGGGCGACAACAGCGCGGAGACAGAAGCACGCTGTAAACGCTAAACCTAAAATTAACCCCTAAACCTAAACCTAACCCCCGTAAGCCTAATCCTAAACCTAACCCTAAACCTAACCCTAACCCTTAACCTAACCCTAAACTAACCCTAACCCTTAACCTAACCCTAAACTAACCCTAA